CCATTCTATGATTCTAAGTTTCTACCTCACCAGCAAGGAGAGAACCTACAAGAACATCCGGATGGTGCTGCTGCCTCCATTGTTTTCCTTGGCAGGATGACAGCTGGTGGTAGCTCTTAGCCTGGAGCCTTGCCTGAATTTGTTGCACCAGGTCTTGCTGCACCACATTCAACTCTTTGCTCCAGGCTGCCCAGGTTTGCCACGGGCAAGTTTTACTGCAGCAATAAGCAGAGCTCAGCCAAAATCACATTCAGCAAGCCATCCATGTGTGGGCATGCCCCCACCCAAAGACATCAGTGAGACCTGTACAGTCCTCCTCAGTTTACTGACATTGGGGAAAATGAAGATATTCTCCAGTTTTCATTGCTCTGTGCAGAGAGGGAACAAGTCGTCATTGACAAATGGCAGTACTTCCAGAGAAGGGTCTGAGCTCAGCTGCAGTGTAACACTTCAGCTGACACACAGATATCTGTCATGATGGGACGTAGCTTTACCTCCCAGCTCCAACAGAAAATGCATCCCTGTAGTTCAGACACATCTGTCTCTTGCTCAGATACTATTCTCCAGGTGCAGTTGTTAAAACTATATGCTAAGGTATGTCTATTGTATAAATGCCAAAAATCTGCTTTAGTGGATGACTAAAAGCCTGTAACAGACTTCACTAGGTCAGTAGATTTGCTTTTATACATGTTTCTTATCTTCTGGAATTCCTTCTCCTTTCAGTAATAATTAGCAGGTACCTATTAATCCTGCAGGTAACACCTATTGATAACTTTTGGATGTACCTGTAAAGGTACCCCTACAGAGCATACCCAGAATGTCTCCTGGGTTGAAGTCGTAAGTTCCCTCCTTAGAAGACACTGCGTGTGCTTGCAGAGCGTGAGTCATGATGACTTTTGCCCATGAACTGGACTATCGCAGCAGAAACGTGTACCGAGGTAGTCTGTGACGCTGTCAAAATGAGAGCACCGGGCAGTGACCGTAATACCTCTTCTCTGCACATTTTCTGCTCCTAAATTTCCTGGTCTAAAAGGCTTAGACTGTTTGGCAAAGAAACTAGGGCTGGTGGTCCTCCTTGCTCGGGTCACAGACTGACCTACTCAGAAAACAAACGGGGTTGCCCTCAGAGGGTCTGTTGCTGCAGGAGTTGGTACCAGCGTGTGGTGGAAGAGCTGAGTCCTGCCAGCAGGAGAAAACACGAGGGGGACGGAACTGAGCATCACGGGGTTGGTCTCTGCTTCATGCTCCTGTGTGGTGTTCGGTGAATCGGCGCACTCAGACCTCTACTTTTCCATTTGTGGATGCCCAGGTTTGAGCCCTCATGGTACAGTGGAGATGCTGAGCACTCTGCTGAGCAGTATCATCACACACAAGTCAGAGGGAACTGAATTTATGCTTCACAAGCATCCTCGTTTGCCTTCCCTTGCCACTGAGTGCTTGACTGTGTAGTCATCATAAAGCTTATACTGAGAAGTGAATGTAAATGTGGAAGAAAGCAAGCAGAAAAGGAAAAACAAAAAAGAAACAAAAAGGGGAACATAAAGAATCATAAAAAAGAGCACTAGTCAAAAAAGTCAAGAGAATGGTAAGAGAAGTGGGTGGGGACAGGGGAGTAGGAAATGTCCTTATAGTCTTTGTCCATCCTTTACCCTTCACCTAAGTCAGCAGTGAAATGGACTCGTGATACTTCAGAAAGAGGATCCTGGATGACAAAGGACAGAAGAAAGGGAAGTGTTCTTCACTCGCACTCTGGACCCAGGAGTGGGGGGGTCTCTCACAAAGTGCAGGGAAAGGAGGACGGAGCTGCAGTTCTGGGAGAATGGGAGAAGTTGTGCGTATAGTGGTGTTTGTGATGGCTTTCATCAGCTGCAACGGTGAGTAAATGCTTCAGTGATGAGAACAAAAACCGGAGTACTAAGAGGGTAGGGGAAATCTTTTGAATTGCAGTGTCTTAATTGTCTCGTGTGGAAAGTCTTTAGTTTCTGTATGAAAAATAGAGCCTGAGAATTCACAGGAGTCTCCTGCAGTATCAGATACAACAAGGTGTTTTTAAGAGCGGAGTAAACGGGGCAATATTGGGCAAAAGGCCAGCTCCTGTGCCCCAAATCAAGAACGAAACAGGACTGTTCGGGGCTCTTGGAGAGGACCTGTTCTGGTGTGTTAGCTTTCCAAACAGTCTTTGTAAAGCTGGAATATGCATTCTTCTAGAATTTAATAATGCACCACTGTTGTTCTGCTAGCATGGTCCTGGGAAGAAGAGCTGTAATTGTGAGACTGGGTGCGGGCACACACGATTCCCCTTGGTATCTCCTGACCTGCTGACTCTCTAGGTGCATTAGGAGAGGTGATGCTGGAATCTTCGCTTTGATTCATATGTCCACGAAGCATATGTGCCACTCCAAGGGCACACAAGACACTGACACTGGCAGAGGAAGGCTTTGGGAAACAGGAGAAGGGTGTTTTAGCAATTTTTAGCAAGTTATGCACAGAATTGCTCCCAACATTTAGAAAAATGGGTTGAAGTATGTTCCAAATTTCATCATGAAACAACACCTTTGCAGACTTCTGGGATTTGCATCTCAAGCGACTTATTGTGAGTTAATGGAGCTGAACATAACCAGTGCCTTTGTGGGGAGGAGGGGAAAGGGGCAGTGGGATACGGGGGTATGAGTAGAAGTAAGCCAAGTCCAGCTAAATTCAGGTAATTTGCTACTTAGAAGAGGCACTTCCCAGAGGAGCTGTGGTCTCAGTGGGCAGACAGCTGGAGAGACTGGGAAAATGTGCTGGGTGCCACAAACCCCACCCCCTCTCCTCCTGCGCCCACCTGAGTGCACGGCAGGGCGCTTATCTGGTTGAAGCAGGTATGATCCAGGAAATCTAGGTCAGATCTAAAGCTCTCTAAGGCTAAAGCAAAAAGGCAGAGTTTGGTCCACCATTCCTGTTCCAGATCCAGCATTTCAGAACAGATCCCTAAAGACTCCTTCCTGCCTGCATGGTATTTCCCTGTCACCAGGATAGCTGGTGCTGTCAGGCAAGGAAGGAAGATGCTCAACTGATTTAGAAAATGGGCCAGAATATGAGTTCAATTTTTTTCCCACTATCATGCATGACGGTTAATACAAATCCCTCTGATCTGTCTTCTAATCTCTAACATAGCCCTTTGGGTTTTTGCCTGGTCCAGTTTTATTTCCCTGCGGTGGGAGAATTCACATTGTGTGTCTGGAAGACTACATCCCAGTTGAAAAAAGTGTCACTGGGAGAAAATAATTCTTTTAAAAATGCTGTCTCTGGGATTTTTATTTTGCTGAGTTTCTCCCATTCCTTCCAATCAGCTGTCCTTTGGAGTCATCCCTGATAATGTTGAAATCAGTCATCTACAGAGTGCAGCTGCTCCGCAGGGAATCAGTGGATGCTGGCAGCTATTTCAGCTGGAGCAATGCAAAACAACACGGGAGAGATGTTTAAAACACAACTGCGTCCAGATGAATACACTGGATAGCAAACATACTTGAACTTGAGTGTAACAAATGCCTTGAGGGTATTTCTGAGCAGTTTTCTAAATAGCTTCCACCCTTAGTTTTTCTTGGTGGGAGTCTGTGAAAAGAGGGAGAAATGGAAAACCTTTAAAAACTGATACATCGAGGAGTTGCATTTGACTGGGATGTGAGGTTTGAAGAATGGAGCTGTGCCTGTCCTCCCAAAGTCATTTGGTAAAGGAAAACCAAAGCTCCATGTCAGCAACAAGCTTCCACTCTGCTTAGCCCCAGTCGCTCCCTTGGCTGTCCCCATGGACACACAGATCCAGAGATGTTTGCCTTCCCCCAGACAGCACCTCCTGTTAGCTCTGGGACAGGCTTTGCACATGGTAGTACTTCTCCCCACACAGCGGTACTGCTGGGTCCTGGGAGCACCAGGAAAGTTGCATTAAGAAACAGTGACATTAAGGAATGCAAACATGTGGCATTCGTCATTAATTGCAGCGAAGCAGTAACCTGGCTTTGCTCATCCTTCCTCCCATACAGAAGACAGAAGTCATCACTGGGAGTGGTGGTGTCAGAGCATCCTGTCAGTGGGGGGAAGCCGCTGCTGTTTGACTCGTCTTTGACTTATGCAAGCGTAAGCAGAAGGCCAAGCTTTTTTAGGGTGTAAAGACTGGGGCTAGAGAGCAGGAATAAGAGATGCTTCTTGAGGTCTTGTGAAGACTGTAGCTGTGATGCTGCCACCAGGAACAGGATTTGTGCCCCACTGTACTGAGAAGGAATTGAGAACTACAAGTGTCCAGAGAGAAACAATAAAAATAGCCAGGAAGTAGAAGAAACTATTCACTTCCCTATGCCCAGTGAGGTGGGGACAGGCCCTGGCTTAGCTGGCTGTGGTGTACAGCACATCTAAGATGTGGCCATGTGCTGCCTTCCACCACCTAGTGATTCCCATCTATCCTAAGGATGTTCTCCTCTTCTGCTGCATTCTTATTTCTTCCCTTCAACTGTTGTTCCCTGCAGCCCTCCTGGATCTGTCTGGTGTCCATGAGGTCAAGGGCACATGGATGGGATCCACCACTTTACCATGTACCTACTTGCCCTCAGAAGGTTTCACACAGCAAACGCTCACCTGGAGCATGGAGCGAGACCGTAGCACCTCTACCATCTTTCGGAGGGACACTTCTGGTGACCACGTCTTGTTGTCTCGGTTCCGAGACCGGGTTAGCGTCCCAGAGCACAGCCCAGGGAATGCCTCACTCTTAATTGAGAACCTGGAAATCCCCGACAGCGGACACTACACCTGTCAAGTCACCTGGAGATCTAAAGATAACAGCCTGATAACAAAGGAGGTGACCACTATGGTTAAAGTTGTCAAAGGTAAATCCAGCAATAAAGCCCTGCTCTTGTGTAGCCAGTCTCATCCACAGAGCATGTAGGAGAAAAAGCAGCTGGTGGGAACAGTCTTTACACCATAATCTCTACCTGCATCCAGGATGGGTGTTGAGACAGCCTCCTCCCTTGCTTTGTTAGCCCTATCTTCTCCACTCACGGAGGTGTAGGGGTAGCCTGGGGAAGGAGGATCACTCAGTATACACCCCAATCTGAATCTACCGACAGGCTGCTTGAACCTGTGGGGCTCAAGATAACATCCAGAGCTGGTGTTGGTTTTGTGCAGGTAGCCAGCATCTCTGTGGTTCTTGCAGCAAGTGGGACAGTGTGTTGTACCAGCCAAATCTGCCTTCTCCCCTTCCTGAGCATCCTCAGTGTGTGCTAGAAAGAACTGGCTTTCTGCAAGAGGGTGCACCCACTCGACCGTGCAGGACTTGTGTGATATGGCAGTAGCAATGGTGGAATAGCTGCCATAAACCTGCCTTTAGGCACAGGTGAGCCAAGCTTAACCTGTGCAGAGAGGTGATGTGAGCGTGGTGCCCCTCCTCCTCCTGGGAAGCACTGAAAGCCAGAGCAAGAACTGCCATGGAGGCAGGGGGGAGCCTTCCCCAGCGCAGCCAGCGCCAGCGTGACCTGGGCCCCATCTGCTTTGTCTTCCAGTGGCAGTGACCAAGCCTGTCATCAGGGCCGGCGAGCTGGGGCTGACGGTCCCGGCAGGAGCCAGGACCAGCCTGACCTGTGTGGCCAGCGGGTCCCCCCCCATCAGCTACCGCTGGTTCAGGGGCACCCCAGGAGGGAAGGGCCTGCTCCTGAGCAGCCAGGCCGAGCTGGCGTGGGACAGCCTGCAGCCCTCCGACGCCGGGAAGTACTACTGTGAGGCAGAAAACAGGGTTGGGGCCGGGGCTGTGCAGCAGAGCGACGCCGTTGAGCTGACCGTGACAGGTGAGTCCCCAGTCCAGAGCTCCTCATCTCCTCATCCTCAGAGCCAGGGGGTTTCCCCTTTCATAGCGGGATGAGACACATAACGCTAAATATGAATTGTGTCTTATTTGCCACCCAGAGAGGAAACCACAGGCACTGGCATCCTCCCTGCTTCAGAGTGTGCCTGGCCATGGCAGGGGCCAGGAAAACGTCGCCTGTGTCTCTCTGGGGCCACGACTGTTGCAAGATGCCCTTGGCACATCATGCTCTTACCTGGCCTGTTCTGCAGGCAGGGCGTGGGGGAAATGGCCTGATGACTGGTTTCTCCCGCAGAGTCCCCAGTCACACCGCAGCCCAGCCCTGAGACTGGTGGGAACAGCAGACCCCTGCTCATCCCCCTGAGCGATGCGCCCCAGCGAGTGCCCACGAGTAAGTGACCTGGGCTGCCGGGGATGGGCTGCTGTCACCCTAGTGCTGTGAGAGATGGATGAAGTGAGCAAGACACATCTACTAGACATTCCTTTTGGGCTGCAGATCCTCGCTAGGTGGGAAGGAAACGGCCCGCCCTGTCTCTCAAGTGCAGGCGCTCAGGTGTGTGTATCTGGGTTGGAGCCACCCCCCAAGACACAGCAGCAGAGCCAGTGCTCGAGGGACCACAGCCTGGGAGCCCTGGGGGTTGCACAGCTTCCGTGGGAGGTGACTTAGGGCAAGAAACCTGGCTCGGGGCTCCATGTGTCAGGGAGCCTTAAGGTGCAGCTGCAACGGCAAATCACCCCAAGGCAGCCAGCGGGTCACCATAGGAGAGAGGAAGTGAGAAAGTCCTGTGGAAACCTGGATGAGTCCCAGCGAGATAACGCATTCCCTGGCCACAAGTGCTGGTGCCTAGAGATGTACTGTGTTGGCCAGGGCTGCCAGGGTCCCCTGGGGCAATGGCCAGGGAGGGGGACATGAGTGCCACCCACTGCCTGCACGCCTGCTGGCAGAACACGCGGGACGACTTGTCAGGGATGAAAATCTGGCTTGTCACTTCGGGAGCAGACCCAAGGGGCGTTTTCTTCCCATCCACCTCACCTGGGAGAATCAAAGCGGCATGCCTGTCAAAACGGGGCGGGCAGCTTCGGGCAGGGTTGCGGGCAGCCGCGG